GAAGTTTCAATCGCACTGTATGTGCGCGCCCGCACGTGGTATTTTGTGGAAGAGCCACACTCAAGGGGCCAAAGAGCCGCATGTGGCTCGCGAGCCGCAGTTTGCCGACCAGGGGCCTAGGTCATTGATGCTCATGTGTGGCCACACACTGAAGTCATTTGAGATGCTTTTAAAAAATGCCGATGCCTGGCTCCCACTTCCAGAATTTCTAAGGTATTGCTCTGTGGTGTGTGGCCTGGGCATCAGGATTTTTAAAAGCCCCCTTGACTGACTGTAAAATGCAGCTACGATGAGAATGCAGGTTTCACAGTAGTAGGTTCTTAGAGGGCATGATTCCTTGAGACAAGCCTTGAAGTGGATAAAGCAGATGTCACCATTAATCAGTCGCTCTGCATCCCAATCTAACACGCCATTTGCTCAAGTTACCGTTCTCCAGATGAACAAAGCTAATTCAAATAAAGAACAAAGCCACAAGAAAGTGATCCCTCCCCCCTAATATTTTTACAGCGTACAAAGCAGTTTCACATATTGGATCTCCTTTGACTCTCTCCACCAGGCTGTGGGGAGTGAAAGAAAATGGGTGGGGCTGTTTGCAGAACTGAGGGTGAAGTTGCCATGCATGTGAGGGAGTTCTACTACCTAGATTTCCCCGTGCAGGAGTGGGCTCTGTTCCAGCAGCTTTTCTTATTCTTGGGTTAAGTCAAGAAAATTCAAGTGAAAATACTTTGGACTTGAGTTTAAAAGAAAAAAAAAAAAGAGAGACATCTGGAGAAAAGAGTGATGCAAGGCTGTATACTTGGGTGGAGGTCAAAGGAAAGGCAAGGGATTTGGTGGCCAAAAAGCAAGTGAAAGGGGTTTTGATGGGCCGTGCTACCATGACTTCGCAATAACAGAGAGCACTTGGGAAAAGCAGCAGGTCATGTTGAAAACAACACATTCTGAGAAATGATGACAGATCCATTTATTTGCAACTTGGATTAAACTCCTAAAAATGAACAAAGGAGGCTGCGGAGAGAAATTGTGCTACAAGAAGAACCCTCGGAAAATGCAAACTCAGGCTTTGCTTATCGAAGAGCCCGGTCTTAGTTTTAAGATAAATAAAAATACCTAAAAGGCTGCTGTCAGTGCGTGCACTTTGCACAAGCGGTTTACTGGTAACCGCTTTGTTCAAGGTTAAGACATATATTTTTTGTTTAACGGGGCATGGGTTAGCTTTGTGTGATATAACTTAATTGTGCCATAAAATAATCAGGCTCTTTAAAAAATATTAGGCTGCAGAGTCATGCTAAGTCATCTATCCAGGGAGAGCCTGCATTTCCTAATTAGAAACAGATGGTGTAAGGGTGGTGCCACTAGTAACCATTTAGCTGCACGCCCTTTTGGATTCATATGGAGATGAGGGAAATATTAAAATGGAGACAAACCTATATGTCAAGAAAACAAAATAATTTGGGGTAGAAAAAAAAATTGTTTTCTATAATTCTCCCTGGAGTCTATATGGGGAGAGGAAAATGGAAGTTACAATTGACTGCCCCCTTTTTTTTTTTTTTTTTGGTCATTGGTTTAAGATGGATGGCTTCTCTGACCTCTGCTTGCCCTTCCCCCATTTGCTCCATCTCCCCAATCTTATAACGATTGGGATCGCCCACTGGTGTGGCTCAGTTGTTGAGCATGGACCTATGAACAAGTAGGTCATGGTTTCATTCCTGGTCAGGGCACAGGCCCAGATGGTGGGCTCAATCCCCAGTAGGGGGCGTGCAGGAGGCAGCCAATCAATGATTCTCTCAGCATCGATGTTTCTCTCTCTCTCTCTCCCTCTCCCTTCCTCTCTGAAATCAATAAAAAAAATTATCTATCTATCTATCTATATAAAAGCCAAGCGACTGGACCGATGGGACTGACTGGAACGACTGGTCACTATGACGTACACTGTGCTTGCCAACCAGCCTCCCGCAGACCCTCCCCCGGGCTGGCCCAGCCCCCAATTGGCCCCCCAAACCCTGATTAGCGGTGGGGCCGGCTGGCCAACTTCCAGCGGCCCCACCCCACGGCCGGATTGGCCTGAGTGGGGTGGGCTGGCCGGACCCCACCCGTGCACGAATTTGTGCACCGTGCCTCTAGTATATATATAAGAAGATGGGAACTTGTGACTCTCCCAGATGCCCCCTCACTCCCTATGCTTAATACTCTTAGTGCTTAACTCCCTAAATTGTGATTGTGTTTATGTCACCTCAGCAACTGAACTTAGCTCTTTGTAGGCTTTTACTAAATATTGGTTGCAAAATTGAATGTTTTGGCAATTCCTATTTGTATTCTTTGCTGAGACTGTTCTTTTTCTATCCAACACTGTCTTCTTAACCTCCATTATCCCTCTTGACCACATCTGGAATATGCCTATTCTGAACATCATTGCTGAAGTCTAGCAGAAATGCTGTCATCTCTATCAAAGCTTTCTTGTTTCAAAGAAGGCAGCATAAAGTAAGAGCTCAGAGTATGGCCTCTGGTGCCAGCTGTCTACCTCCACCATTTGTTAGCGATGGGGATTTGGACAAGTAACTCAATCTTTTTGCACTTCAGTTTACCCTTCTGCAATGGAGAGAATGGTTGTTTCTATCTCATAACACCATTATTAGAATTAGATGAGCAAATTTTTATAAAGCATATAGAATAGTGCCTGGTACATATAAAGTGCTATCAAATATTTGTTAAATAAGTTTTTATTGTATACAATCAATTAGCAGTGGACTCATCTTCTATTTTCTTTTATGTTTGACTTCTGTGAAATTGTTTCTTATGAATCCTTCAGTGTGTGTTGATCACATAACTCCAAAAATGCAATTGAATAAAAACAATTCAACGGGGTGAGGGTATAAAGAATGCGAATAGGTGAATTTGGAGGAAAATATGATGGTGTCAGGAAGAATGATTCTGCTTTCTCTCTCTAACATTTATCGCCCTGATGGTAATTAAAGGGATTGGAAAAATTAGGTTTATAGTTGTTTGTGTGGAAAAAAATGCAAGTTATGATTATTGCAATAGCTATATTAACTCAAAAGAATGTCACAATGCAACTGTAAACCTACTTTCGTCCTGCTTTAATTATTTATTTGCTATAAAACTCACCACACTAGAATATGAGCTCCATGAAGACAAGCAGTTTGTTTTGTTCACTGTTATACCCTCACTGCTGTATTGGGTGCTTGTCTCAAGGATTTCTTGAGTGAACAGTGAATGAAAAAGTGGCAGTCATTGTATCCTTAGCTGAGTTTTAGTGGGTTTTGGGGTAGCTTAGAGTTTGATCAATATCTGGAATGGAGTTCCTTTTCTCTTTCTTATAATATATTTACTATTTTTAACACCACTCAAGTATAGTAAAAATACAATAAACCAAAGAGGTTGAAAGGGAATTATTTTGTAAGGGTTGACATTTGTGTACACCTATGAAATTATCACTGTAAGCAAATATAACATATCCATTATCCCCAAATGTTCTGTGCTCTTTGTAATCTCTGCCCCACACTCCCCAGGCAACCACTGCTCTGCTGTCCATCACTATAGATTAGTTTGCATTTCTGCTTCTTGATCAATATTATTAGAAGTCTGTTTATTTTATTAATTCTTTCAAGTAACCAACTTTTGGTTTGTTGTTACTCCTTATTAATCAGTTTTCTATTCATCTATTGCCCCTAGTAGT